AAACACAAAGAATCCCATTAATGAACCAGGAATTAAACACCTATGTATGTATAGGTAAACAAAGTATTAAAAAGGTACCAAAACAAAACAATTCTTTCATAAATAAGCCAACTTGACAACAAATCTAAACAATGAATTAAGTTTTATTTATATTTCTCTTCAATTGGGCCTCTATTTAGAGACAGAGTGGGAGAGTTTCTATTATTGTAAGAAATTAATAAAAAAAATGAAAATTATTAGATTTTTAAAGTAATTAATATTAAAATAAGCAGACATGTTCTGTTTTTTTTTAAAATGTGGTTTAATATTGAACAACATATAACTCAAGGTATCCATGTCTTAGGAAAAAAATGATTACTTTAACGTGAGTACATAATATCTAACAAACTCTTTCAATTGTTTGGAATTTACAAAATTAGAAAAATAATAAAGAGTTTTATTAGATAGTATGTGATTAATCATTTAAATTCTGTTCAACCAGTTTGAAAATATATTTATAATGTTTATTAATTATATTATATTGGTGAAATATCCACTTATTTTATTTGTGATTATTTTTTACTAAACAGCCGAATTAATTATTTATAATAAAAAAATTCTTTTTTCTCTATAAAAAAATCCAAATTATAAAAAAACCTAATTTCTTAGAACTCTTTATCTAATCAATTATATTGTTACACGAATATATATACTAACTTTATAGTCATGGCACGTTGACACACAACCCCCACCATGTCCAAATTAAATTTCAGTAGTTGTTTGTTATCTGCTGTATCTTCATACCATCATTCTAAGTCAGCACAATCAATCCATGTGTTTAACATGTGGCATCAAATCAAACCAATGAATTTGGATCACTTATAATATTTTTTTATTAAAAACAATTGTTTTAAAATTTCCGACACACTAATTTCTAAATATTGAATTAACATAAATTTAATATAAAGCATTTTCAAAATTTTAATTAATTTTTGCCTTTTCAATATAAATAGTTGTTTATTAATCATTCGTAATTATATGTAGGGATGCAGTTAGAAAAAAATAGTTTAAAAAGACTACAAAATATATTGTTTTGAAAAAAACAAAACTAAAAATACGATTATATTTTGTGTGAAGGTAGTAAGTTTTGCTAATTTAACAACATCAATTTAAAAATCTTAAAACATGTTTATTCTAAATATAATAATCTAAAAATATTTTTAAGTTTATAACATATTATAAATATTTACTTGTTAAACATAAAATTCCATAAATTATATGATTTTAAATAATTAAAACATAAAAAACTGTTGCGAAGTGTTGATCAAACATCAATGTCTGTCCAACTAACAGATGGTTTGATGGGAGTAAAATGTGAAAAAAAAACAAAGAGAATCAGTAGTACATACAAATTTAATTTATACGGAAAACAGTGTAAAAGAAAAATGAAAAAAAATATAGATTTAAAATAATCTATTATTATTCATCAATATCATGGATTGTGTTTTTTTTTTTTTAAGTTCGGTTATTTATTACTCATTTGTGTGTATTTCAACAAGTTTTCCACAAATACTTATAAAAGAGAAAAATGATAAAAAAATGTTTTTTTTTAAGTTAAAATTATATTATATATGTAAATTGTTTTTTACATTATGACAGAATTTATACAAATTAGTTTATTTTAAACTAATGTTACGTTAAATAGAACTTATTTTATTTATTTATTTATTATTATTATTATCTCCTAAAAATGATTATACATTTTTTTTACTATAAAACCAAAAAAATTGTATATATTGTTCTTTTAAATCATATAAAAAAAAAACACTATATGTAATTACCACATACATGTTTAGTAAATAGGTTTGGTTTAGTGGTAGGAAATGCTATGATTCATCCATTAAATTAATTGGTGTTATGGTAATTTCCAACCATTTTGAATATATTTATAATCCAATGAAGTGGATACAATTATCCACTTTTTTTATTTGTTATGGTTTTTTACATATTCATATGTGAATACAATTTCTTTTAATCTCTAATAGGGAATGGCATTTATGATGACAAAATTAGAGAAAAATGTATAACTACAAAAGAAGTTAGGATAATTAAATTATAATAAACTTTTAACGTCTCATGAAAAGTAGCATACCATCCACTCTTTGTAAGAATAAAAATAGTGAATAAAATTGGGACATGAATCATATCAAGATTTTTTTCTTGTAAAAAGTTATACCCATTTTAGAACTTATTTATTCTATGTAATTTCATAGACCATAATCAAAGCAAACGTGCTTTTTTTATCCGTGTAATTTTAATTAAAATTTATAGACATGGATAAATTTTAAAATTTTTACAAAAATAGATAAATAGATTTATGTGAAACGAATTGATCGTAAAAAAGTCGTGTTTCTTAATATAATTTTGGATGAAATTTTTTCTTTTGAAAAAAAGATCAAGTCAATGTTATATTATATAAGATGATTTTGTCAAATTTTTATTTTATTTTAATAGAAGTGGTGTAATATGAATGATGTAAATTTGTTTTATTTTTTAATTGTAACTATTATTATTTATATTTATATTATTTATTTATAAAATAATATTATATATTTATAATATTATATATTTTGATAATGTTATAATAACTGTTTTTTATAAGTTTATAAATTCATAAATAAAATAAATCAAATCATAACAATAATTAAAAGAGATAAAATATATTAATATCAAACTTAAAATATATATTGTATTATTATGCTAGTTATCAACTTATTAACAAGTTGGTATGCTTTTTAACCTGTTTTATGTTGGATCTTTCGAGAGGATTAACAATAGAGAGATTTTAACAAATGAATAACGAATTAACCATATAAGAGAATATGACACACTTACAAAAACTTTAAGACATTAGATTATGAGTTTTTCTTACTTATAAGTTACAAAACGGAACACGAACCAAGTCGGTCACCACATGAACCATCGGTTCTGATATCACTCTTAGGTCTTTTGAGGGTTTTTTGAGGACCTAACAATATAGAGATTTGAACAAATGAGACACAAACCAACTATATAAATGAATATGACATCACTCTCAACTCAAAACCTTAAGACATTAGGTTGTGAGTCTTTCTAACTTATAAGTTACTCAACTTTTCCATTTCTACCCAATATGGGACTTCAAATTCACATTTGAATTCTCAATATTCCATTCTATAATTATGTAGATGATCTTCAAAATCTAGCTTGGAGGAAGTAATTTTTAAGGACATGTCCCTTACACATTCAATATGATGCCTTTTGGATCAAATATTTTTACCACTTCTTCTATGACACCACTTTTAGCATATCATCAAATTGGATACGTGGATTCTTATAAACCAACAATACCTACACCTCAGAATTCAATTCAAGAAAAAGAACATAATAATAGTGATACGGAATCATAACAAACATATGTCTCTTAACAAAATAAAAGACCTAGACGAAATAGAAAAAGATCACCATGTAAATCGGACTCTCGACATTAATTTTTTTTTTAATTACATTTTTTGCATCATGTAATTATTTTTATTAATATTAATATATGTCATTTTATTAATTACTCTTATATTTTTAATTTTTTTATTCAAACATAATAAATAAAAAATATTACAAAGTAATATTATATTATAATGAAATTAAAATATAAAAAATATAAAATACTACAAAATGCAAATTAAAAAGATAAAAAAATCAAAGTTATCTCTAGATAACATAACTTTAAAATAAAAAGAAAATCAAAATTATATTAGATGACATGACTTTGAAATAAAAAGAAAAAAATTACAAATCATCGTGCATGATGACACAATTTTTTTATACATGTTCGTACATTCTAACATGACTTACTCATTTTTGTAAAATTGTTACACGATAAGATAATATTCTACTTAAATTAGACGATACTGTAAAAAACCCAAATAAACTGCTACAGATTTTGACAACAACTTAATCAGATATGTGCTTACGAAATATATTAGGAAATAATTATAACTAAGAAAAATGATAATTTGACAACTTAAATCCATACAACTCTTATAAACAACTCATTTTTAATATTATAATAATAATTTTAATTTATTTTTATTTTTATTAAATCATTCTATAGATTATTCATTTTTAATATTATAATAATAATTTTAATTTATTTTTATTTTTATTAAATCATTTTATAGATTATTATATTAATAAAAGTGAGTTATTTGAAAGGTTGTATGATTTCTGGTTGTCAAAACTCTTATAACTAATAATCCACTAATATTTATTAGCAGTATTTTAAAAAATTCCTAATATCGAATCCATACCATGTTACTAAACACTATATATTACTTTCTGATTTATTTTTAATATATATTATATATATATATATATATATATATATATATATATATAATATTTAAAATTATTAAGTTGTGTGATAGTTATGCTGAAGCTATGAAAACAGACGCATGGTAGAAAAGTATAATTAAGCTAAGTGTACCCTAGAAAAAACGTTTATAAATAGTGCGGCAGCCAGCAGTCAGGGACGAATCTTCCAGGGGGTTTAGGGTACAGTCCTCCAAATAATTTATATATTTATAATTTTAGATCTTTTAAATTTTTAAAAATATTTAAATTTTATGATACATTTTTTTTATATTTGCATCTTTTTTATATATATTTTCTTATATTTTATTTTTATTTTTTTTACGTCGTAAAACTCAATAATAAACACGTCCTGCAATATTTTCAGTATCTCCACCTACTTATTTAAAGACACTGAATCTACATCATGGAACCGGGGCAGTTGAAGTCTATTAAATAATGTATGATAATATTGGTGGTAAGGTAAGTTAATGTTTAAGAAACCATTTCTAGAATCAATTATTCGAACTGTGAAATCGGCATATAAATATGCTGTGAACCAACCCCCTCCAAGAACATATTTTCTCTCAGCTTTGCTTATAGTTATTTTTCACTTTGAGATTACCAACCTCAACATGAAACCTAGTTTCTCACCCATTTTTTATTTCCTCAGTGTGAGTATCATCACTATATACTCATTCTTACTCATTTATCATAGTTATGAGATTGTTTTCGTATTTGACATCATATCAGTTGCAGCTTGCAGTGGTGGCCATCCATGGTGGTGCTTTACCTCCTGAAGTTTACTGGAAGTCGGTGCTTCCTACTACGCCAATCCCAAAAGCCATCACTCAGAGCCTTTACTCTGGTTAGTTCAATTTCTCTCATATGCTATCTTACATGAACATTTCAAAAATACTGATTCTTTCATATATAGTACCCTTTTCTCTGTTCTACTTTCTGCTATATCTATCACATCCCCACCAATTGTAAACTCTAATTCTGGTTTATTCTATCTGTATAATTAATTTATTTTAAAATTTTATTTTCTATTTTCATTTTTTAAATATATATTTTTTCTCTCCTATTTTTATTTCATTTTTAAATATACAAATTATAATAACTATTTTTTAAAATTATGACATTTTTCTTTTTTTCTTTCCAATAACAAAAATTATTTAAAAATTAATTCTCTTCATATACAATAATAATAGATAAACCCTATATATGCATCTGCATGTACATATATACGAAATGACACTTTTCAGTCTCCTCAATTTGGATTTCTTTCAAGTAAAAGAGAATGTTTTTAGCAGCATATAATAATCTACTGTCTATTGCTTCTTTTTAGCAAGATTAATTACATTATAATAAAGTAAAATTAAATTATTTTAAACAATTATTAATACTAAAGTATTGTTGATAAAACAGATTGGTTGAAAAGAGAAACTTCATTAGAAGTAATCAATTATAAAAAATAATCAACAAAGATATATTCAGTAAGTAACTTGAACTTATTTCACCTTAGTTAAAAAAATATTTTTTAAATACATTTTTTTATATGACATAATAAAAGTCTCACTTCTTCTTTATTAATTCATAGTTATAATACTATAGTTTCAAATAATAGTAAGTGGTACTGTATGAAGAAAAATGTTAAAAATAAACTTACTTTCTCTTTCGTCTCATTTTTTCTCTCATCACTTTATACATATCATCCGTACATCTATAATTAAGAAGAAAAAAATTTCGTTACATCTATCAAATTATTTTTCTTCTTTTGTAATTATATCTATCACTCTCTTTGTTCATGTCCAGTTTCCACTATTATTTCTTTTAATTAGTATGGTAATAAGAGTAAGAAAGTGGGTGAATCCATCAATTAGTTGAGATGGAAAGTAAAACTAACTCTACTTAAAGAAGGGTTGGTGACTTGGCCCCAAAAGGTAATTGTCGGGTCGATAGTTTGCCATGCTAAAATTTTCTAAAAATATTAACCAGAAAAATAAGATAATAAGTAAATCTTTTAAGTTTTATTACAGAAGAAATAGAAATAATAATAATAATAATAATAATAATAATAATAATAATAATAATAATAATAATAATAATAATAATAATAACGTGTGACTTTATTTTTTTATAGAGATGATATGCAATACCATGACACATGTTCCATATTAATGAAATCTATATGAGAATTTTGCTTAAAGCATACTAAACACAAATAGAATTTAAATTATTTAATAAAATTTACGTTTATTTTGTTAATGGTAAAAATATGTTTAAAAGTATTTAAAATATGTATTACTATAATTACCCTCTCAACTTAAATAACACTACTTAAAATTAGTTATTTTTTAAAAAAATTTCTTATATAAAATTATTTTAATTTATAAGATTTTACAAAAATATTTCAACGAAATATAAGAATTTCTAATATGTAGGACTTATGTGTTAAAGTCCACATGTAACAATAAAAGTTATACTTTTAAATATTGTTTGGTTAAAGGAGAAGTAAACAAAGTGAAAAAAAGAAAACACAATTGTCTTTTATATAATATAATAATATACAATAATCTATCTCACGTGTACAATACGAAATAATGTTTTCATACACGTTGTCTAAAAAATAAAAACATTATTAATTTTGCATGAGAATTCATACATAAACAGTGTCGTATATAACATAAAGTTATGAAAAAAAAGAAAAAAAAGTAATGGCCTGTAGTTGCAGAGTCTAGTCTGGCTTGAGATAATAAACGTCAATATTCACGACTTTGCAGATTGGGTGGAAGAAAAAAGCACAGCAGTGAACGTTGGAAAGGGAGGCGTAAACGTGAATGCAGGAAAAGGAGGTGGCACCAATGTCAACGTTGGAAAGGGAGGGGTAAACGTGAATACAGGAAAAGGAGGTGGCACCAATGTCAACGTTGGAGGAAAAGGTAGAGGAGTTTCAGTGAATACAGGCCACAAGGGAAAGCCTGTGCATGTTGCAGTATCGCCATTTTTATACAACTACGCTGCCACCGAGACCCAATTACACGATGACACAAAGGTGGCACTCTTCTTCTTGGAAAAGGACTTGCATTACGGAACAAAGTTGGATGCGCAGTTCACTACAACTTCCAATCAAGCCACCTTCTTGCCACGCCAAGTTGCGGATTCAATACCCTTTTCATCCAACAAGGTGGACGATGTGTTCACCAAGTTTTCCATCAAACCCGGGTCGGAGGAGGCTCATATCGTCAAGAACACTCTTAGTGAATGTGAAGAGACTAGTGTCAGAGGTGAGGAAAAGTACTGCGCCACTTCACTTGAGTCCATGGTTGATTTCAGCACTTCCAAGCTTGGAAAAAACGTTGAGGTTGTGTCCACAGAAGTGGACAAAGAAACGGGGTTGCAGCAATACACCATAGCACCGGGAGTGAAGAAGATATCAGGGGACAAGGCTGTTGTGTGCCACAAGCAGAATTACCCTTATGCTGTTTTTTACTGCCACAAAACTGACACCACTAGAACTTACTCCGTGCCTTTGGAGGGTGCCGATGGGATCAGAGTTAAAGCAGTGGCAGTGTGCCACACTGACACATCACAATGGAACCCCAAACATTTGGCCTTTCAAGTGCTCAAGGTTAAGCCAGGAACTGTTCCTGTCTGCCACTTCCTTCCTCAGGATCATGTTGTTTGGGTTCAAAAGTAGATTTGAATTCAAGTTCTTTTATCATGTTTTAGAATAACTAGCTTCAGTTGCTTCAGCTACAGAACTCGGTCGATGCATGTATTTGCACTACGTAGTTCTCTTGATATGTATAATTTTCTGTTGTTTGTTTAGATACTGTACGTGGCTTCCTATGTATAACTACAACGATGCATTATGGGTTTGAATAGTAAATCGATATGGATGTATTCTCATGTTGAGTGTTGTTATGTTATTCAATCATTTTTTTTTTCAAACTCGGTTCAAGTTTAAGAAATATTTAAATTTAAATGAGAACTTGAACACAGACAACATTATCATATTCTCGGTAATTCGTATTGCGAAATCTTTTATATGATAGCACGTATTCATTTTTTAATTTTTCAACTAGCATACTGTAGTTTTTATTTATCTAGATAGCATAGTTTTTTATTAAGCTGAGAATTCGATTTACCGGAATACGAAACCTAAACGTTATTGTGTTTTATAATTTTTACAAACAATTCAGAATTCGATTTTCCAACAACCGAATTCTGAATAGTTTTTTTTATTTTGTTAAGAAAAAAACTAACTAAAATATATATATACATATATAATAATATGTTATACTATTTTATTTAACATTTATAGTTTTAAATTAGGTATTTAAAAAGATTTTTATATTTCTAAAATTAATTATATATTTACATTTATTGTTGAAAGTAGTAAAATAATATTTTTAAAATATATTATTAAATATTATATTTAAATTTATTTGTATGATTAAACTTTTTTTAATTTTTTGATTTATTTGATATTATAATTTTTTTAGAAATTAATAATAAATTAGGAGGATAATAAAAATCTTAAAAATTATATGAATATAAGAAGAAGTTATACTTTAGAGAATATATATATATATATATATATATATATATATATATATATATATATATTAAAATATAATTTATTTTTAAGTTGATAAATTTTATTTTTATTTATGTAAATTTTATATATAAAATTAATTTAGAGTTCATATATGTAATTTTAATTTATGTAATATATATATATATATATATATATATATATATAATTTATATAATATATATAATTTATTTAACATTAAAAGTAATTATAATTTTTTTAAGGTTATAATTTTAAATATAATTTTTTTAACTTGATATTTATAATTTATATAATATATATATAATTTAAAAATAATTACTTTTTTTAATTTTAAGTTGATATATTTTTTTATTTATAATTATTTAATATATATTTAAAAAACTAATTGATTATTTAAAAATTAATCAATTATTTAAAAAAATAACTGATTCTCATCAAGTATGAAAAAATCAAGTATGAAAAAACTAATCGATTAATTTTTGAAATAATCGATTAGTTTTTTAAATAGTTAAAAATATATATATATATATATATATATATATATATATATAATTTAAAAGTAACATATATGATAGCGGTTAACGTGGAATCGCTCTTAAAAGTGACATATATGATAGCGGTTAATGTGAAACCGCTCTTAAAAGTGATATATATGATAACGGTCTCACGTTAACCGTCATCTAAAAGAACTGGTTCTCAAATTATGATCGATTACTTTTTGAAATAATCGATTAGTTTTTTGAATAGTTAAAAATATATATATATATATATATATATATATATATATATTATAGAAATGAAAATAAGTTATACTTTACAAAATAAATAAATAAATAAATATATATATATATATATAAATATAATTTATTTTTAAGTTGATAATTTTTATTTTTATTTATGTAAATTTTATATATAAAATTAATTTAGAGTTCATATATGTAATTTTAATTTATGTAATATATATATATATATATATATATAATATATATAATTTATTTAACATTAAAAATAATTATATTTTTATTAATTTTATAATTATAATTTTTTTAAGGTTATAATTTTAAATATAATTTTTTTAACTTGATATTTATAATTTATATAATATATATATAATTTAAAAATAATTACTTTTTTTTTAATTTTAAGTTGATATATTTTTTTATTTATAATTATTTAATATATATTTGAAAAACTAATTGATTATTTAAAAATTAATCAATTATTTAAAAAAATAACTGATTCTCATCAAGTATGAAAAAATCAAGTATGAAAAAACTAATCGATTACTTTTTGAAATAATCGATTAGTTTTTTAAATAGTTAAAATATATATATATATATATATATATATATATATATATATATATAATTTAAAAGTAACATATATGATAGCGGTTAACGTGGAACCGCTCTTAAAAGTGACATATATGATAGTCTGTTAATGTGAAACCGCTCTTAAAAGTGATATATATGATAGCGGTTCCACGTTAACCGCTATCTAAAAGAACTGCTTCTCAAATTATGATCGATTACTTTTTGAAATAATCGATTAGTTTTTTGAATAGTTAAAAAAAAATATATATATATATATATATTATATTATAGAAATGAAAATAAGTTATACTTTACGAATAAATATATATATATATATATATATATATATATATATATAAATATAATTTATTTTTAAGTTGATAATTTTTATTTTTATTTATGTAAATTTTATATATAAAATTAATTTAGAGTTCATATATGTAATTTTAATTTATGTAATATATATATATATATATATATATATATATATTTATATAATATATATAATTTATTTAACATTAAAAATAATTATATTTTTATTAATTTTATAATTATAATTTTTTTAAGGTTATAATTTTAAATATAATTTTTTTAACTTGATATTTATAATTTATATAATATATATAAAATTTAAAAATAATTACTTTTTTTTTAAATTTTAAGTTGATATATTTTTTTATTTATAATTATTTAATATATATTTGAAAAACTAATTGATTATTTAAAAATTAATCAATTATTTAAAAAAATAACTGATTCTCATCAAGTATGAAAAAATCAAGTATGAAAAAACTAATCGATTACTTTTTGAAATAATCGATTAGTTTTTTAAATAGTTAAAAAAAATATATATATATATATATATATATATATATATATAATTTAAAAGTAACATAAATGATAACGGTTAGTGACCTATATGATAGCGGTTAACGTGGAACCGCTCTTAAAAGTGACATATATGATAGCGGTCCCACGTTAACCGCTATCTTAAAGAAATGGTTCTCAAATTCTGATCGATTACTTTTTGAAATGATCGATTAGTTTTTTGAATAGTTAATATATATATATATATATATATATATATATATATATATATATTATAGAAATAAAAATAAGTTATACTTGTACAAAATAAATAAATATATATATATATAAAAATATAATATATTTTTAAGTTGATAATTTTTATTTTTATTTATGTAAATATTATATATAAAATTAATTTAGAGTTCATATATGTAATTTTAATTTATGTAATATATATATATATATATATATATATAATTTATATAATATATATAATTTATTTAACATTAAAAATAATTATATTTTTATTAATTTTATAATTATAATTTTTTTAAGGTTATAATTTTCAATATAATTTTTTTAACTTGATATTTATAATTTATATAATATATATAATTTAAAAATAATTATTTTTTTTAATTTTAAGTTGATATATTTTTTTATTTATAATTATTTAATATATATTTGAAAAACTAATTAATTATTTAAAAATTAATCAATTATTTAAAAAAATAACTGTTTCTCATCAAAAATATAATTTTACATCAAAATATTATTTCATCTTATATACGTATAATTTTTAAGATTTTTATTATCCTCCTATTTTATTTCATCTTATATAATTTTTATTATCTAAATTAATTTTATATATAAAATTTACATAAATAAAAATAAAATTGATCAACTTAAAAATAAATTATATTTATATTAAATATATATATATATATATATATATATATATATATATATATATACTCTAAAGTATAACTTATTTTCATTTCTATAATATATGTATATATATATACATATATTTTTTTTAACTATTCAAAAAACTAATCGATTATTTCAAAAAGTAATCGACCGGAATTTGAGAATCAGCTTATTTTAGATAGCTGTTAACGTGGGAACGCTATCATATATGACAATTTTAAGAGCGATTCCACGTTAACTCGCTATCATATATGTTACTTTTAAATTATATATATATATATATATATATATATATATATTTTTTTTACTATTTAAAAAACTAATCAATTATTTCAAAAAGTAATCGATTAGTTTTTTCATACTTGATGAGAAACAGTTATTTTTTTAAATAATTGATTAATTTTTAAATAATCAATTAGTTTTTCAAATATATATTAAATAATTATAAATAAAAAAATATATCAACTTAAAATTAAAAAAATAATTATTTTTAAATTATATATATTATATAAATTATAAATATCAAGTTAAAAAAATTATATTTAAAATTATAACCTTAAAAAAATTATAATTATAAAATTAATAAAAATATAATTATTTTTAATGTTAAATAAATTATATATATTATATAAATTATATATATATATATATATATATATTACATAAATTAAAATTACATATATGAACTCTAAATTAATTTTATATATAAAATTTACATAAATAAAAATAAAAATGATCAACTTAAAAATAAATTATATTTATATATATATATATATATATATATATTTATTTTGTACATTATAACTTATTTTCATTTCTATAATATATATATATATATATATATATATATATATATATATATATATATATATATATATTAACTATTAAAAAAACTAATCGATCATTTCAAAAAGTAATCGATCGAATTTGAGAACCATTTCTTTTAGATAGCGGTTAAGGTGGAACCGCTATCATATATGTCACTTTTAAGAACGGTTCCACGTTAACCGCTATCATATACGTCACTTTTAAGAGCGGTTCCACGTTAACCGCTATCATATATGT